GTCTGTCCATCCCCGACAAGAAGCAGTCGGGCCGGATGAAAGGGGGGGATTGGGAAAGGGGGGGGGGTGCGAAATCTGCGGCATGCAGCTGGCTTCGGCCCCGCCGAGGGGCCCAATTCCTCGGTACATGGGCGCCTCCCGGCGCCGGGAGGCGCCGGGAAAAATTCGGCCACGGGAGCTGAGTCTCAACCCCCCCCTTTTGCTATCCCCCCCTTTCGCCCGACCCGAAGCAGAGGCCACCGCCTCCGAGATCGAGCGACGAAATCTATACATATCCACTGCTCCCTGACCATGCCCTTCCTGAACCCAGGAGCTGTGTATGCGCCCTCCTGGCCAAGCCAGGAGGGCGTGGCGTATACACCGCTGCGGGGTTGAGGATGGGCCTGGCCAGGGAGCAGTGGATATGTATAGATTTCGTCGCCCTACGAGAGTCCATCGGGGCGGTGCCCCGCCCCTGGGCGGTGGCGCGCCGGGAGCGTCACGTCCAGCACCGGGCGAGCGCCGGGGCGTGCCACCGCCCAGGGCCGGCCTCCTCCTGGCTCGTACCGCTTGGCATCGCTCGGACGTGTGCATGTTTCCTTTGGCGAGGGCCATCGAGGAGCATCCTTGATCTCAGAGCCCCGAATCATCAGGGGTAACTCGGGTCAGGGCTAACTCGGGTTCGTTTTTCGGAATCCGAACCTGACTTACCCCGGACCCGAGTTACCCCGGATATTTCGGGCGTCCAGAGCCCCGAATCATCAGGGGTAACTCGGGTCAGGGTTAACTCGGGTTCGTTTTTCGGGAACCCAAACCCGAGTTACCCCGGACCCGAGTTACCCCGGATAACTCGGGCGTCCAATGATCATCTGGCGAAAAAACCACGCACGAAACCAAACAAAAACAAAGGGAACGGACGTCCGTGCGATGGCCAGACCGTGCTCTGTTTTTTTTTTGTTCCTGCTTCACGGTCGTGGGGCGCGTCTGTTCTGTCTGCTTCACGGCCGAGATGCCCCTCCGTTTCCTGTTCTTTCGTCTGCCCTTTCGTGCGTACTTACTCGTTCGATGAGCCTCTCCTTCGTGTTGAAGTTGTCGTACCCCATGGGTTCCACGAAACCGTTGATATCTTTATGTGGGGAATTCCGTTAGCATAATTTTGCTTCGCTTTTTCTCGATCTTTTGCCCAAGCGCCGCGCTGCAGGCTGGCGCATGGCTCCTGCATTGCACTGTGCTGCAGCCATGGCCGCGAGAGGCCACCCTGCGGGCCTTCAGGAGGCCCAGGACCGTCTTCGGATTCTTCTCGCTCGATCTTCGGATTCTTCGGATTCTTCGGATCTTCGATCTTCAACCCGCCTCTTCGATGGATTCTTCGCAGGTGCCTCCTCGATCTTCGGATTCTTCGGATTCTTCGGATTCTTCAACCCGCCAGCTCGATCTTCGATTCTTCGGATTCTTCGCAGGTGCCTCCTCGATCTTCGGATTCTTCTCGCTCCTCCATCTCCAACCCGCCTCTTCATGGCCTCGGTCGTCGGTCCTCCACGCCTGGGTTCCGTTCTCTCGGCGATCCTTCTGTCGAAGAGGAAATTCGCCATGGTCTCCCAGATGGGGTCGGAGTAGATAGGGTCGGTGGATCACGCCGCATTGCCCATGCATCGCCGATTCGGCTCGATGTGGAGCCCGACTTGCTTCGCACCGACGTCGCCGATGCAACGCCGACGTTCACGATGCATCGCTGGTGCATCGCCGATGCATCGCCGATGTGTATCGGCGATGCGGCGCGATCCTCCGACCCCATCTAAGTCAGAGCGTGAATTACCTACCCCGCTTTCGCTTCCAGGCAAAACCAAGTCATACCACGCGCCTCCTCGTCAAGCGGCCTGACCAGTGCAGGCCGTGTTTGGCATCGCTAGGTATCTCTTGGAAGCGAGGGTGGTCAAAAGCGAGGTAGGTTTGTTTACCCCCTACTATGAGGCCTCTGAGGCCTCGATCCTCGTGCCTTCCCTCTGCGAGCAGACCTGCCCCCCCCCGAGCCGCCAGGTACTGCAACCTCTGCGGCGCGTGGGCCACCGAGGGCCACCTGACGGGGGACAAGCACCTGAAGAGACAGATGCGCGCCGCCGCGAGGAGAGGTGGAGGAATGGATGACGATGATGATGATGATGATGATGATGATGATGATGATGATGAGGAGGAGGAGGAGGAGGAGGAGGAGGAGGAGGAGGATGATGATGATGATGATGCTGCTGTTGATGATGATGATGCTGACGATGATGATGATGGGGAGGAGGAGGAGGAGGAGGAGGAGGAGGAAGAGGAGGAGGAATAATGATAATACTATTACGAAGAGTACGAATAATACGAATACTAACACTAAGACTAATACGAAGACGAATGATACGGGTAATTAGAACACTAATACGCCGACTACAAATACTGATGAAACTAAGAGTACGAATTCTACGAATAATAAGAAGACTACTAAGCAGACAACGAAGAAACATATCACGACAACTCATACTATTACTACTAAGGCTGAGAATAGTATCGCTATTCGTAGGAATACTACGAATAGTATGAAGACGATAGTACTACTACGACACACAAGAAGAATACGAAGCCGAGACGCACTTAGAATCACACTACGATCAATACGAATACTAAACAATACTACGGCTACTACTAATAATCGTACAAACACTACGACCAACAATATGCATAATGACACGAATCAGCTCACTGACTATATGAATCATACGATTACGAAACATAAAACCACGATAACACTGTTACGAATGCTAAGACGTCTATCGATAAGAAAAAGAGGATGAGGTGGATGAGGAAGATAATGGGGAGGAGGAAGAGGTGGAGGAGAATGCGGCGGAGGAGGAGGAGGAGGAGGAGGAGGAGGAGGAGGAGGGGGAGGAGTAGGAGGAGGAGGAGGAGGAGGAGGAGGAGGAGGAGGAGGAGGAGGAGGAGGGGGAGGGGGAGGAGGATGAGGAGGAGGAGGAGCAGGATGATGTTGATGATAATGATGCTGCTGCTGATGTTGATGGTGATGCTGATGCTGATGATGCTGATGATGCTGCTGATGATGATGCTGCTGATGATGAATACTATTACGAGGATGATGGCCATGATGGTGGTGCTGATGATGCCGATGATGCCGCCGCTGATGATTATGACGATGGTGATGATGCTGCTGATGCTCATGCTCGTATTGGTGGTGATCATGATGCTGATGGTGATGCTGCTGCTGATGATGATGATGATGCTGGTGACGATGATGATGAACATGCTGATGCTGATGATGGTGACGATGATGATGATGATGATGATGATGATGATGATGATGATGATGCTGATGCTGATGCTGCTGATGCTTCTGATGATGACGATGGCGATGATGCTACTGATGCTCATGCTGCTGATGCTGATGATGATGTTGTTGATGCTGCTGATGGTGGTGATGACAATGATGATTCCGATGTTGAAGATGCTGTTACTGATTATGTTAATGATGATGCTGCTGCTGATGATGCTGAGTATGATGGAAACGATGCTGATGACGATGATGAGTCTGATGCTGATGATGACGATGGTGACGCTGCTGATGATGATGATGGTAATGGTGATGATGCTGATGATGATGATGGTGCTGCTCTTGTTGGTGAAGATGATGCCGATGATGATGACTATGCTGATTACGATGATGATATTGATTTTGCTGATGATGATGCTGACGTTGATGACGATGACGATGCTGCTGATGACGATGATGATGATCACGAAGATGATGATGATGATGATGATGATGATGATGATGATGATGATGATGATGATGATGATGATGATGATGATGAGGATGAGGATGAGGATGAGGATGAGGATGAGGATGATGATGATGAGGATGCTGATGCTGACGCTGATGCTGATGCTGATGGTGATGGTGATGGTGATGGTGATGATGACGATGATGATGCTGATGATGCTGACAAGTCCGATGAGGATGATGATGATGATGATGATGATGATGATGATTATGATTATGATTATGATGATGATGATGTTGATGATGATGACGATGAACATGCGCATGATGATGTTGCTGCTGATGATGATGGTGATGATGCTGATGATGATGACGATGTTGATGATGATGATGATGCTACTGATGATGATGTTGATGATGATGATGCTGATGATGATGTTGCGGATGATGATGATGGTGATGATGAAGATGATGACGATGATGGTGACGATGCTGATGATGTTGCTGTTGATGATGATGCTGATGATGATGATGATGCTGATGCAAATGCTACTGCTGATGATGCTGCTGATAAAGATAAAGATGATGATTATGTGGATGATGATGATGATGATGATGATGATGATGATGATGATGATGATGCTGATGCTGATGCTGATGCTGATGGTGATGGTGATGGTGATGGTGATGGTGATGATGACGCTGATGATGATGCTGCTGCTGCTGCTGATGATGATGGTGATGATGATGATGATGATGATGATGATGATGATGATGATGATGATGATGCTGATGGTGATGATGATGGTGATGATGCTGATGATGGTGGTGATGGTGATGGTGATGGTGATTGCGATGGTGATGGTGATGGTGATGGTGAGGAGGAAGAGGAGGAGGAGGAGGAGGCGGATTAGGAGGAGGAGGAGGAGGCGGAGGCGGAGGCCTTGGCGAAGGAGGGGAGGCGGAAGGCGGAGGCGGAGGAGGAGGAGGAGGAGGAGGAGGAGAGGCGGAGTCGGAGGCGGAGGCGGAGGCAGAGGAGGAGGATCAGGAGGAGGAGGAGGAGCGGGGGAGGCGGAGGCGGAGGAGGAGGAGGAAGGAGCAGGAGGAGGAGAAGGAGGAGGAGGAGCAGGAGGTAGGAGGAGGAGGAGGAGAGAAGAGGAGGAGGAGGAGGAGGGGACGTCCCCCAGTACACGTCGCTCAACCAGCTCCCACCAAACCCAGCTCCGCCAACGTCCGAGCGGGGGCCGCCGAGGTACCCTGAGTGGTACAGCTACGACAAGGCGGCCCGCGCCAGCACCTTTGCCCGCCGCGGGGCTGCCCGTCTGTCAGCTGGCGGTGCCGGGCCGAGCGCGCGGCGCGGCGGTAGCACGCACGCGGTCCCGGTCCCAGAGTCCCTTGCGGCGCGAGTGTTTCGGCCATTGTCGGTTGTTTCTGGCCTCGCCCGAGGGCCTAAGATCTTGGCGGCGCAGTGTTGTCCCATTGGGCGATGTCTTGCCCTGTTTGGGGCCCCGGGATGCGGACGGATTGACCCAAGTGGAACAATGTCTCCGAAGGTTGGGGTTCAGGGTTCCTGGCGTGATTTGTCGCGATGTTGCGTTTTGTTCGCAAAGTCGGCTCTCGGCAGATTGTCGGCCGTCAACAAATCAACTTGGGGTGAAGAGCTGGTTCTGGGGAAGGGTTCAGACCTCTGGGGGGCCTGGCTGCGACACAAATACGACGTCGGATGTGGGGGGAGGGGGAGCGGTGGTATGTTTCTGCACGCTGCAGCAGTCAAAGGCAAGCTTCGTGGGGGTAGGCTCAGAGGGGGATGCATCGACCCCCACTCGCCCATCGATCGCCGATGGGGGCCCGATGTCCCGCCCAGGAGCGCCTGGGTTCGCTATCGGGCGGGCCTATCGGCGATGCATCGCCGATTCCAGCTGGATGTTTCCCCCCTGGTGCCTGGGTGATTTTCGGGTCATAACTCGGGCCCACAGTGGCCGTCTGGGACGATCCGGGCATCGCCAGAACCCTCTCGGCGAGGCGCACCCGCTGGAAGGCACCCTGGGGAAGGGGCGCATGGTCTTGACCCACGTTCTTGTGGTCACGCTTCGATTGTACACTCGTTGGGTTGCCCGCTGGAGGCATTCTGTAGCTTCGGGGATCCCCAAAACAGTGAGTACTGCTCCTCCTTGTTGTCTTCATTCGGTGCGGGCCCCGCTTACGTGATCCCGTCGTGATAGTCAACCTTTTGGTATACGTTTCACTTTGGCCCAGCTGAGGCCAACGAGGGGATCCGTTCCTTACTTGACGTTCACAATGGTAGAGGTTTGACTGTAACCCCTACTTCCTTCCGCTGCGGCCGTTGCCCCCCGTTGCGCTACACCTGGCACGCGGGTTGAGAACAACCCCCGCTCTGGAGGCGTAGCCCGTGCGTTTATCGTTGTTGATCTCTCCCCCTCTGGTTTTTCTTTCCGTGTTTGGTACATGCACGGGGCCTTCGGGGAAGGGGCGCATGGTCTTGACCCACGTTCTTGTGGTCACGGTTCGATTGTACACTCTCGTGGGGCTGCCTGCCGGAGGCATTCTGTAGCCTCGGGGATCCCAACACCAGTGAGTGCTGCTCCTCCATGTTGTCTTCATTCGGTGCGGGCCCCGCTTACGTGATCCCGCCTTGATAGTCAACCTTTCGGTATACGTTTCACTTTGGCCCAGCTGAGGCCAACGTCACAATGGTAGAGGTTTGACTGTAATCCCTACTTCCTCCCGCTGCGGCCGTTGCCCCCCGTTGCGCTACACCTGGCACGCGGGTTGAGAACAACCCCCGCTCTGGAGGCGTAGCCCATGCGTTTATCGATGTTGATCTCTGCCCCTTTGGTTTTTCTTTCCGTGTTTGGTACATGCACGTGGCATTCGGGGAAGGGGCGCATGGTCTTGACCCACGTTCTTGTGGTCACGGTTCGATTGTACACTCTCGTTGGGCTGCCCGCTGGAGACATTATGTAGCGTCGAGGATCCCCAAAACAGTGCGTGTTGCTCCTCCATCGTGCGGCGGGGACGGGGCGGGGTGGACAGCAGAAGGTGGGGAGTTCTTGCCGGCGCCCCGCCCGCAGGCATACGCCACCACACCAATGCTTCAAGACAGACCGGACAGCCGGGAGGCGGGGGATGAGGATGAAGGACCAGAGTAAGAGTAAACCTAAGATGCATCATCGACGCTGCGACGCACCCTCCCGTCCCGAGTCCCCTCGCACTTACTACAATGTCTTGTTTCGCGATGCGCCCTGTTTGAAAGAAGAGAGCCACATGGACCCGCAATTCTAGGGGTAGCTCCGCCATAAGGAAAGCGGCACGATTTGTTCCTAGATGTGAGGAAAGTGTCCATTGACAGGAGCGTTTTTTCATCCGTGCAGGGTGTTGCACATTCGTAGTTTCTGATCGTGCAACTGTTGATATCATGTACTCCGAGCGGTGGGCTATTGTACTTTTAGTGGTGGTGTACGTTATGTTGTGCCACAGATGTGGTGCAAGCTATCTCGTGTAAGTTGTAAATTCTGCGGGACAAGCGATGTGGTGCAAGCTTTATGATGTAAACCATGGAGTGTGGTACAAGTTTTTGTGGTGCAAACGCTGTGGCGCCAACCATCTATATGTCCATGCACATATGTATGGTATGAACACGTGTGTATACATATGTATATGTATAATCATAGAGTCTACGCATGCCATGTAAGTATATGATTGCGCACGCAACATGCATGTGCTATGTGTATAGCTTGTATACGCTCGGTGGTGCCATCTACGTGGTGTAAGCTATGCATTGCAAGCCATGTGATGCAGTCTATGTGGTGTACGAACCGTGGTGTAAGCTATTCATTGCAAGCCAGTTATGTGGTGTATGAGGTGTTGTGTACGCTAGGCGGTGCAAGCTATGCTGTGTAAGTTATGTGGTGCAAGGTATGCGGTATACTATCACGCATGTAATTCACATGCGTTCAGGTGGAGTACAATGAGGTATACGCTCTGCGGTGTAAGCTATGTGATCTAACATCCATGGTGCACGCTGGTTTGCACACCATGCGTTGCGTACATCATGTGTTGTAACTGTCTACTGTAAGCTGTACTCGGTGGCGAGCGAGGGGGGAAATGAGAAGGGGCGGGCCTTCCCAGAAGGCTCGGACGCCCCCCGGCCGTCTGAGAAGCTCCCTCGGCCCTCCCCGAAGACTCGGAAAACGTCTCAGAAACCGCGAGGGCCTCAGAGAGAAGCCCTTCTCCTTCTGAGAGAAGCCACCTTCTGAGAGAAACCCGTCTGAGAGAAGTCCCGCCGACTTCTGAGAGAAGTCCTTCTCCTCGTTCCCGCGGCGCCCGCGGGGGCGCCAACGACGGGCGAAAGACCTCCACCCGCCCTCCCAGCGCGAGGCGCCCACGGTCGGCGGCGAGCGAGGGGAGGGGAAGCGAGGAGGGGAGGAGAAGCAGGAGGAGCTACGAGGAGGAGGAGGAGGACGAGGAGGAGGAGGAGGAGGAGGAGGAGGAGGAGGAGGAGGAGGAGGAGGAGGAGCGAGAGGGAGAAGGCCTTCTCCGAGGGCGGCTGGGCTTCGCGCCCTCTGAGGAGTCTTTCGCCGACCCTGAAGGGGGACTCGGCGGCGTGCGAGGGGCTTGGGGACGTGAGGAGGAGGAGGGTTTCTCGGAAGGTGGCGGGACTTCTCTCAGAAGCCCCTCGCGCCCTCTGAGCGAAGTGCTCTCTGTGTCTTCTCGGGGGAGGCGCAGGAGAAACTTCTCGGGAGGCGAGGGTTCTCCGTCAATCACCTGGATGTTCTACGAGGTGATGGTTTCTGGATGTCTCGATGAGATGGGCATATTCAGGAAGAGCACCACATCTTCCTGGGAATGCCTTAGCTCAGCGACAGAGGAGGAGGAGGAGGAGGAGGAGAAGGAGGAGGAGGAGGAGGAGGAGGAGGACGGCGACGACGACGGTCCGCCAGCAGGGCACCCGGCGAGGTCTCGTCACGCCTATGCGGTCTTGCGTCGGGCGTGCCCATTTGCGTAGCACCCCGCAGATGCGGATGAGGACAGCGTCGGGCACCACGCGCGTTGTCACGTCATCCAACGGTTCGCAGAGCGCCGCCTGGGTCTCCGGGTGCGTGGCGTGAGTGCCTGGTGATGGGGGCGGTGGGGACGTGGGCAGTCTGCGAGACTCTGGAGAAGCCCGCCGCGGGCGCCAAAGTCTCACAAACTGTTCAACGAGCCCGCGCCAGGCGCCGGTTTTTTCGTTGAACTTATGTGGGTATGTCGCAAATGGGTCGCGGGTGGGTCGTTGTATAGGGGGCGATATTCGAACTATGTTGGGCCATGTTTGGTGCATGTTTTGTCAATTTTTCATTCTTCTTCCAGAATTCGCCTGCCGGGGGACATGCCTACATTTCATGCAGCACACTGTTTGTGGAACGCGGCGATGTCTCGGGCGAGGCCCTTCGCTTGAAAAGGAATTGTCGTCCTTCCTTGCAACGGTTTGGCAGGTCTAGACCTCAGTAGCATTCTTCAAGGAGGCCTCATGCGAGATAGCCTCATTCTGCAGAGGACCCGCGCTTCGCTCCATCCGTGCAACTGTTGGATTGGCTTAGGGCGGGGGTCCTTAGGGGGGATGTTTCTGATAGTGGGAGGGTTGGATGACACATGCAGTGGGGACCCATGCGAAGAAACACCCTGCTTGTCTCCAGGGTGCCCTGGGTTTCTTGTGTTTCGATGGTTTCGCTATGGAAAGCGTGACCTTCCCACGCCGAAAATCAACGGACGTCCTGAGGTCTCAGGCTTGGGTTTCTCATGGACAATTTCTTGTGGACTGGCCCCCACTGCAATGGCAGCGTGAAGTAGGACGGGGGCGGGGTTGGGAGGAGGGGGAGGACGGGGGATGGATAAAAAGGGGGGGGGTCGAGGCTGTTGGCGGGGCGCAGGAACGACGGGAAGCGGCAGGGGGGCAGTTGCGTCTTGCGTGCCTGTGTCCGCTGATCGAGACTCCGCGCATCTCCACCAACCCATCCAGAAACGATGCCCATGAGAGTTTCAGGGAGGTCGAAGGAGGAGGGGAAACATGGGGAGGACGAGGACGAGGAGGGCGAGGAAAGCGAACAGCGGGAGAAAGGAATAGGACCATGAGGGGGAAGAACGATACTTAAAAGGACTGGGCGGACGAGAGAAAACCAGGAGAGCAAGAAGAAGGGTGGGGAGTGGGAGGAAGGGACGAGGAGGAGGCGGCAATGTTGGCGGCGGTTTTGGGGCGTCGGGGGCAATGCTGACCTGTCACTCCTCGCCCCCCACGCACAAGACCCCGTCCCCGAATAGGCGGCGAACTGGCTTTTGGAAGAGTGAAGAGAGACCTCGTTGTGCCACCTCCACCCAAAAGGGTTGGTGGGATTTCTAGGCAGGGCTTTTGACAGATCTGCCTCTCCCCATCATTCCCCCATGCTACTCTCCCTTCTCCTCTTCTCTCATGGTCTCCCTGGTCCATTCTCTCCCCTCCTACGCCTACCTGCCTCCCTGACCCTTCAGTTCATGTTTGTCTCTCGTCCCATTCTCCTTTTCGCTCCTCTTAACCTTTTCTCTAGCCTCCCCTGTCCCGTATCCAATTTCTGGTTCTTTCACCCTCGCTGTTCGAGATCCAACATGTTCTCCGGCACTTCCCAACAACTCTTTATCTTCTCGCTCCTATCGTCTCGTTTCTCCCCCTGTATCCTTTTTGTTCTACCCTCGTTGCGGCTACGTGCGAGTTCCGAGTCTTATCAATGTTCTCCCTCCCCCGATCTCGTTTCGGCTGTTTATCAACAACTCCCGCGTTTTGTTTTCATGCGCGTGGTCCTCATTTCACAATTCTGCTTGTTCTCTATCAGGCTCGTTCTCGCCGTCGGCGCTTACCAGTATTTTCAGACGTTCTGGTCCCGATCAGCCTCGCGCTTTTTCCCGCTTTGCGCATCGGCAGTTTCCCACGGTGACCGTCTGCTGCATATCTGGGCGGACGAAAACCAAATTAGCTTTGCCAGTTTTCCTGTTTCATATTGTATGCTGCTGCCCACTCTCCCCAGATTTGGGAGGTTCTGGATGGATGTGGGGACAAGGGTGGGGTGGACACCACGGCCAGAGCCACGGCCTCTTCCTGGATTTCATGACCCCTACGCTCCTTTCCATGGGCCCCCCGGCCCGGCACTCGTCTGCGCACATGTCTCTGGCCATGGCTTGCGACCGAGGAGGGAATGGGGGGGGGGGAGGAGGAGGGGGAGGAGGAGGAGGGGAGGAGGGGGAGGAGGAGGAGGAGGAGGAGGAGGAGGAGGAGGCAGGAAGGAAGAGGAGGAGGAGGAACGAGGAGGAGGAGGAAGAGAGGAGGAGGAGAGGAGGAAGAGAGGGGGAAGCAGGAGCAGGAGGGAGGAGGAGGTGGGGAGGAGGAGGCGGAGGAGGAGGAGGAGGAGGAGAGGAGCAGGATGAGGAAGAGGCAGGAGGAGGCAGGAGGAGGAGGAGGAGAGGTCTATAAGGAAACGGAAAACAGGAGGAGGAGGAGGAGGGGGAGGAGGAGGAGGAGGAGGAGGAGCAGGAGAGGAGGAGGAGGAGGAGGAGGAGGAGAGGAGGTGAGGAGGAACAGATGAGGAGGAGGAGGAGGAGGAGGAGGAGGAACCAGGAGGAGGAGGAGAAGGGAGGAGGAGAGGTGTGGGGGAGAGGAGGAAGAGGACGAGGAGGAGGAGGTGGAATCTGAGGGGGTGAGATCGAAGTGGAACGGAGAGCCCCCCCTACCGGGAAATCGATTTCGGTTTCGTGTTCGTGCGTGCCGTGCGTGCGGGCGAGGCGAAGCTGCGTGGGCGGGCGAGAGGAAAGTCTCCTGTGGCTGAGGCCCGGCCGGACCAAATGATTCTCCACCGGGCGGCCGGTGGCGCGCGTTGTCCCGCCGGTGTCCCGGTGGTGTCCTCTGTGGCTGAGGCGCGGCCGGACCAAATGATTCTCCACCGGGCGGCCAGTGGCGCGCGGTGTCCCGCCGGTGTCCCGGTGGTGTCCCGATCATGATGTTGATGATGATGATGATGATGATGATGATGATGATGATGATGATGATGATGATGATGATGATGGTGATGATGATGATGATGATGGTAATGATGATGATGTTGAT